AATCCCTGCCTGGCTTTCACCCAGACCACTTGGAATCATAAGTGAAATCAAAACCTGTGCTTCTGCTGCAGCACCCAGGGAGTGTTCACCCTCCTCATAGAGGAGCGTGCATTAGGAGGGAACAGGATCTCCATGCCCCATATCCCCATGTTCCCCTCTACATCCCCATGCCCTCCTTATGCAAGAAAAGCTCAGAATTCATAATCGTCGATCACACGTAGATCTCAGTGAAGCAGCAAAGGTTTTTTGTTCATAATTGCAATAGTGGGCACACTCCTCTTGTGGGAAAGGAGAAAACACGCACTTGATCAGTGAACCACTTCTCCTTCTCATGGCAGGTAATTACTCTCCTGTTCCCCTATTGGCCAAGTACCCCAGACTCACAATCTAGTGACACATTTGTTAATCCATTTTTCCATATGACGTTTATCACCTATGGTTTTTAAGATCATTTTGTGTGCTTCTATGGATACAGGAGGGCAATATTTCTTGAAGTTCTCATCTCACCCATCTCATGCCAAGCTTTCCTTACGCTGCTCTGTACTTTTGTCCAGTTTCTCATACTAACAAAAGCCATGTTTAAGAAAGAAGAAACCCATATCAGGAAATATCTAAAGGTTACTAAGACCCAGTTCCTGATTCGTGATACCTGTTATGCTTTGCTAACAAGCATAAATATAATTACATTTTATATTTACTTTGCAACCTTTCCCTTTTCAAAGAACTTGTGTATTCTTCCCCAAAGGTTCACAGAATCACAGAATCACAGAATCATAGGGGTTGGAAGGGACCTCCAGAGATCATCGAGCCCAACCGCCCTGCCCAAGCAGGTTCCCTACACCAAGAGGTGTTGTGTGGTGTTAGTGTCACACAGTGGCTGTGCCATTTTGCTGATGTGTGGTGGTACTGGCACGTTGTGGTTGTAAAGATGGTCACCGTGATGGTGTTAGATGGCACTGCTGGCATGACATGTCTATCCCATACGTTTGTGACGCGGTGGTGGTACCAGCACATTGTAGCTTTCCTATGGGCCTCTTTGGCTGAACCAGGAAGGTGTGTGGTGATGCTGGCACACTGTGCATGTACCATGAACGTGTTATGTGGTGGTACCAGCACACTGTGTCTGCATTAAGCTGCTCGGTGGTGGTGCTGTTGCACTGTGGCTGCACTGTGTGGTGGCAGCAACCCCACTCCCTATCCCACAGGAGTGCAAGGCACTGATGAACGAGGGTTTCAAACACGTGGCGGTGGCAATGCAGCAAATGATTGAGCAGATGCAGAAGGAGTGGGAAATGGAGATTTCCTCATGGTGCCGCATGGGTGTGAACGTCCTGATCACATTGCTTCAGCTTGTCCTGTCAGACATGACAGCAAAGAGGAGGTCAGCAATGAGGACAGCATTGAAGACAGCGATGTGTAGCCCTGTGCCAGCTGTGCCTACAAGAAGTGCAGGCCAGCGCCCAGGCATTGTGATTTCAGGGAAGTGAGAGGTGTTACAGGAAAGGGAAAAAAACAGCAGGGGGAGGGCTGGGTTTGCTTTCTCTTTCGGTTTCAGCACTGCTGAGCCACAGAGAGCAGCACAACCATGGATGCTCCGGTGCTCCCGATGCCGGCTCCGCTCTGCCTGGTGAACAACAGGGATGGCGTGCTGTCCCTCGACCCCAAGGCGCTGGCAGTGCTGCAGGAGGTGGCGCAGCCCCTGGTGGTCGTGGCCATCGCCGGGCCCTACCGCACCGGGAAGTCCTTCCTGATGAACCGCCTGGCACAGAAGCGCAGTGGTGAGCTGGGGGGCAGAACCCCATCCATTCACTGCGGGGCATTTTGAGGTATTCGGGGGGATTCCTGATGGCTGGCCACCTGCAGGCTTCCCGCTGGGCCCCACGGTGCAGGCAGAGACCAAGGGCATCTGGATGTGGTGCCTGCCCCACCCACGCCGGCCTGGAGTGATGTTGCTGCTGCTGGATACCGAGGGGCTGGGAGACCCCAACAAGGTGGGTGCCGGGGGGGAAGGCTGGCCCCACATCTCTCCCCGGAGTCCTCCAGAACACCCCTAACCCAGCTGTGGGCACAGGGTGACAGCCATAACGACGCCTGGATCTTCACGCTGGCACTGCTGTTGTCCAGCACCCTGGTGTACAACAGCATAGGCACCATCGACCAGAAGGCACTGGAGCACCTCGAGTATCCTGCAGGGATCTGAGCGGATGGGGGATGTTGGGGTGAAACTTGGGGACTCGGGGCTATGGGGGACTTGGACAATGCAGGACACGGGCTGTAGCTGTGGGATTGGGGCAATGTGAGGCTGGGAGATTTGGGGTGAAACTGTGTGTTTGAGGCCACAAGGAACCTAGGGAAAACCTGTGTGACATGGGCATTGCAGGACTTGTGGCAAGACTGGGGGATGTTGGCAATGTCGGACTGGGATTTGGGGAAAAACTGGGGGAACTCGGCAATGCAAGAGTTGGGTGTGAAACAGGTCTGGGACAAAAAAAAATTGAACAACCTCAGACTTTGGTTTAAACCATGGCATTTGAGATGAAACAGTGTGATTTGGGGAAGTTGTAGGATTTAGGGCAATGTGGGACTTGGGGTAAAACTGGGCATTTACTCAAGATTTGGGTAGCTGTGGCATTTGGAGGGGGCAGTGGACTTAAGGTGGAACTGCAGGATTGAAGGGTGATTCAGGCTCAAAGAGGGTGTAGATGGGCACTGTGGGGCAGGACACGACATACAGAGGAGGACAGAAATATTTGGGGGGTACACAGGATTTGGGGAGCGTTGTGCTCCTGAGTGGGGCCAGGCTGGTGACACAGCTGTCGGAGCTGATCCAGGTGCGGGACGGGGACAAGGATGGCAACAACAGCGTTGAAAGAGAAGATGAGGCCGAGGACTGCGAGTTCGTGCGCTTCTTCCCCAGCTTTGTGTGGGTGGTGCGGGATTTCACATTGGAGCTGCGCGTGGGCGAGCGGCCCATCAGCGAGGACGAGTACCTGGAGCAGGCGCTGGAACTCAAGCACGGTGAGTGCTGGCCTCCTTGGGGTCATTAGGGAGGCCCTAACGAGCGAGCGGCAGCACCAACAAAAGCTGCCTGCCTGCCACAGGGCACGGCCGCAAGGTGCAGAACTACAATGGGACGCGGCTGTGCCTCCGCAACTATTTCCCCACGCGGAAGTGCTTCGTGCTGCCCTCGCCACTGGGCACAGAGGAGCACGGGCGCATGGAGGAGCTGCCCGAGGCCGCGTTGGCCCCACGTTTCCTCCAACAGGCAGCCCAGTTCTGTGACTATGTGCTGAGCTCCTCCTGGCCCAAGACGCTGCCCGACGGTGGAGCGCTGACAGGGCGAGGTAAGGGGAGGGTGGAAGGGGGGAGAAGGGGACGTGGTGACACAGAGGACAACAGGGCGATGGCAACGCAGGACAACAGGGTGACAGCGCACTGACTGCGGGCTGATAATAAGGATATCATCATAAGGGACAATAGGAGGTCCATGGGAGGACAGTGATGATGGCAAATTGGATGACGGGGTGACAAAGGCAAAGGCAACACGGGACAAATGGGATAAAGGCAATAGTGCCATGGAGAACAGGGTGAAAACAGGGGGACAGTGGTGACACAGGACATCAGGGGGACAATGACAACATGAAACAATGGAGTGATAACACTGGGGATAGCAGAGTGATGACAAAGGGACAAAAGGGATACAATGGCAACACAGTACAGCAGCGTGACAACGATGAAAGAGAACAGTGATAATAAATAGGATGCCAACGGTGACACAGGGCAATGGGGCAACGATAACACCAGGAACAACAGGGTGACAGAGGAGTGACAGCAGCGATGGGGGGACACAGGTCAATGACTGGGTGATGACAGGCTGACAACGGGACAAAAAACACGGGGACGACAGGGGACAACAGCAACACACAGCAGCAAGGTGCCAACAACGAGGAAGGTGTCACTGTGCCATTCTCCACAGCCCTGAGCACGCTGCTGAGCAGCTACGTGGAGGCCATCAACAGCGGGCGTCTGCCCTGCCTGGAGGGAGCAGCAGCAGCGATGATGGCCAACGAGA